CTGTGGTCAGTGTGCACAGTATAAAAAAAAAATCCTGCAGCTCACAGTGCATATTGAGAGAAAAAAAAAAAAGCTCCGACCGTGTTTTTGGCTTAAAACGACGACTTTGCAGTGTATTTTCGTATGGTATTTATGGCCGTATTCTAGGTTTTCTGGTCTCATTTTATAGAATGGAAGACACATTACAGAAATTGAGATGATTTTCATTGGTTTCATAATGAAAAGTACCTTGAAATTTAGCTCAAAGTAGCAGAAATGTTCGATTTTTACCAAATTTCAAAAGTAAGCAAATCATGCCAGGCGTCCAATACACGTCAACTGGCGAGTCTAATATTCTTTCACAAGTGCACAGATATTATTTATTTATTTCTTCACTAATGCAGTAGTCTGTATAACAGTAAATCTTCTATTTTTTTGTGAGAATAAAAATTCAGTGGAAAGCAAAAAAAAGATGTAACAGGGGCCTGGGGACGTGACTAATGAACAGAGAATGTTATTTTAGTGTCTTGCTTATTCTGGACCCTATTTGGAAATAGGCATCTTCTGAAATTTGGGTGAAGGTGGCAAAATTGCCAATTTCTGACCACTATTGGATAGTTGAAATCAGTAAGTAGGTGGTTTCTTGTAATCATTCGATAGAAAAAAATGGAGTTCTAGCAAAATAGTTACGATTTTTGTCAACTATTATTATTATTATTATTATTATTATTATTATTATTATTTTTATCACACTGGCTGATTCCCACCAAGGCAGGGTGGCCCGAAAAAGAAAAACTCACCCTCATTCACTCCATCACTGTCTTGCCAGAGGGGTGCTTTACACTACAGTTTTTAAACTGCAACATTAACACCCCTCCTTCGGAGTGCAGGCACTGTACTTCCCATCTCCAGGACTCAAGTCCGGCCTGCCGGTTTCCCTGAACCCCTTCATAAATGTTTCTTTGCTCACACTCCAACAGCACGTCAAGTATTAAAAACCATTCGTCTCCATTCACTCCTATCAGACACGCTCACGCATGCCTGCTGGAAGTCCAAGCCCCAAGCCCCTTCACTCCATTCTCTCTACATGTCCGAACCACGTCATCAACCCTTCCTCAGCCCTCCGGACAACAGTTTTGGTAATCCCGCACCTCCTCCTAACTTCCAAACTACGAATTCTCTGCATTATATTCACACCACACATTGCCCTCAGACATGACATCTCCACTGCCTCCAGCCTTCTCCTCGCTGCAACATTCATCACCCATGCTTCACACTCATATAAGAGCGTTGGTAAAACTATACTCTCATACATTCCCCTCTTTGCCTCCAAGGGCAAAGTTCTTTGTCTCTACAGACTCCTAAGTGCACCACTCACCCTTTTCCCCTCATCAATTCTATGATTCACCTCATCTTTCATAGACCCATCCGCTGACACGTCCACTCCCAAATATCTGAATACATTCACCTCCTCCATACTCTCTCCCTCCAATCTGATATCCAATCTTTCATCACCTAATCTTTTTGTTATTCTCATAACCTTACTCTTTCCTGTATTCACTTTTAATTTTCTTATTTTGCATACCCTACCAAATTCATCCACCAATCTCTGCAACTTCTCTTCAGAATCTCCCAAGAGCACAGCGTCATCAGCAAAGAGCAACTGTGACAACTCCCACTTTGTGTGTGATTCTTTATCTTTTAACTCCATGCCTCTTGCCAAGACCCTTGCATTTACTTCTCTTACAACCCCATCTATAAATATATTAAACAACCACGGTGACATCACACATCCTTGTCTAAGGGCTACTTTTACTGTGAAATAATTTCCCTCTTTCCTACATACTCTAACTTGAGCCTCACTATCCTCATAAAAACTCTTCACTGCTTTCAGTAACCTACCTCCTACACCATACATCTGCCACATTGCCCCTTTATCCACCCTGTCATATGCCTTTTCCAAATCCATAAATGTCACAAAGACCTCTTTAGCCTTATCTAAATACTGTTCACTTATATGTTTCACTGTAAACACCTGGTCCACACACCCCCTCCCTTTCCTAAAGCCTCCTTGTTCATCTGCTATCCTATTCTCCGTCTTACTCTTAATTCTTTCAATAATAACTCTACAATACACTTTACCAGGTATACTCAACAGACTTATCCCCCTATAATTTTTGCACTCTCTTTTGTCCCCTTTACCTTTATACAAAAGAACTATGCATGCTCTCTGCCAATCCCTAGGTACCTTACCCTCTTCCATACATTTATTAAATAATTGCACCAAACACTCCAAAACTATATCCCCACCAGCTTTTAACATTTCTATCTTTATCCCATCAATCCCGGCTGCCTTACCCCCTTTCATTTTACCTACTGCCTCGACTAATACACTGAAATTTGCCGAAAACTAGGCTCAAAGTGGGCAAAATCGCCAATGCGTTGACATCGTTGAGACCGCTAACTTTGCGAGAGCATTATTCCATAAGTTTTCCATCAAATTTCATACTTTTGGTGTCATTATGATCGGGAAAAGATTCTCTATCATTTCGTAAGATTTTTTTTTTTTCCTGCCCTGAGAACAAGTTTAGGAGAGGGCCTCTCGACCCTGAAAGGGTTAAAGGAGGGTTTGGAATATTGGTAGTTTGGAGGGATATGTTGTATATCTTTATGTATATGCTTCTAAACTGTTGTATTCTGAGTACCTCTTCAAAAACAGTGATTATGTGTGTGTGATGTGAAAGTGTTGAATGTAGTATTTTCTTTTTTGGGATTTTTTCTTTTTGGTTCACCCTGCCTCAGTGGGAGATGGCCGACTTGTTAAAAAAAAACTAATCTGTTCCAGACACCCAAGAATATTCACGAAAAGATACATTTTTAAAGATTAATTATAGTTTTACATACACAAAACAATGAGAAATAAATAAAATAAATACATAAACATTTAAATCACTATTACATACCTTTATTGAAGACTCTTGTTGGCTAATGGAGAGGGAGGACTGATTGTTTGGAAGGGGAATCCCCCTTCATAAGGACTTCAGGTATCAAAGCCCTTTCTGGGGTTACTTCCCTCTCTGCCTGCCTTCCACACTCCCTGTTTCCCTGCTACACTCCCTGCCTGCCTGCTGTACCCCTTGCCTCCCTGCTACACTTCTGCCTGCCTTCCTGCTACACTCCCTGCCTGCCTGCTGTACCCCTTGCCTCCCTGCTACACTTCTGCCTGCCTTCCTGATACACTCCCTGCCTGCCTGCTACACTCCCTGCCTGCCTGCCTGCTGCACTCCCTGCCTGCTGCACTCCCTGCCTGCCTGCCTGCCTGCCTGCCTGCCTGCCTGCCTGCTACACTCCCTGCCTGCCTGCCTGCTACACTCCCTGCCTGCCTGCCTGCTACACTCCCTGCCTGCCTGCCTGCTACACTCCCTCCCTGCCTGCCTGCCTGCTACACTCCCTGCCTGCCTGCTACACTCCCTGCCTGCCTGCCTGCCTGCTACACTCCCTGCCTGCCTGCTACACTCCCTGCCTGCCTGCCTGCCTGCTACACTCCCTGCCTGCCTGCCTGCCTGCTACACTCCCTGCCTGCCTGCCTGCCTGCTACACTCCCTGCCTGCCTGCCTGCCTGCCTGCTACACTCCCTGCCTGCCTGCTACACTCCCTGCCTGCCTGCCTGCCTGCCTGCTACACTCCCTGCCTGCCTGCTACACTCCCTGCCTGCCTGCCTGCCTGCCTGCTACACTCCCTGCCTGCCTGCTACACTCCCTGCCTGCCTGCCTGCTACACTCCCTGCCTGCCTCCCTTCCTCACTCCTTGTTTCCCTGCTACTCCCTACCTGCATGCCTGCTACATCTCTGCCTGCCGGCTACACTCCCTGCCTGCCTGCTACACTCCCTGCCTCCTTTCCACACTCTGTTTCCCTGCTACACTCATTGCCTGCCTGCTACACTCCCTGCCTCCATGCTACACTCCCTGCATGCCTGCTACACTCCCTGCCCATGGTGGCTTATTTCACAGTCGCACTTAATAAACAAGCCACATCAGCTTCCTTGATTTGTTCTTTCTTTGCCAGGATAGAAGTGATTGTTGATTTGTTTTTTGTCAAATCAGTGATTGTTGATTTGTTTTCCAAATTTCAGTCGCATTTAATAAAAAAAAATGCCCAAAACAATGGATTTTAAGGAAATGTTTGGATGAATGCATGGAGTATATGCTTATTTGCTGACAGACAAAGGGAGAGTGACTCATCTACGCGCGATGTCCCGGGCTGACACTTCTAATATGGCCGATATGAGGCAATGACCAAAATATAGAGCAAAATTTCCACAAAAAAATTGACCTAAATGCGAATCGGCCGATAACCGTAGCTGCCGAAAGACGAGGTTCCACTGTATATTACCATATCTGGCTTTTTTGACAGCCCTTTATTTTACCACGCAAGAAGCATAAATTCACTGATGAAATAACTTAAAAATCAGTGACTCTCAAAATAAATATTGTCCATTTTTGTTAACATAGCTCTGTATACAAATTTGTAATATTGCAGTTAAACTTAGTAACCCCTAACCTAGCTAAAATTACAGCAATAATTCTTACCAGCCTATCTAAGGTCAGCCTGTGTTTAGTTAGTATTACATAATTCACATGTGTATTTAATCATGGAGGGTCATCTGAGTTATTGTGATGTCGGCACCCTTCTGGTAAGTCAGCAATTGAATGAGTGAGTTAGTGTTTTCTTTGTCAGATCGCCCAACTTCGATGGGAGATGGTTGGAGTGTTAAGAATTACAGTAAGGTTAGATGACCTTAGATAAATTAATGTTATGCAAATTTTAGCATGGTTAAGTCAGGTTGCTGAGTTATTTGTGTTAATTATTCTTGACATCCTTTGTGATATCACTTTGAATTTAGGTAATATAGAATAAACTTTGGCACATCTAGCAAGTATGAGAGGGGCTGTACATTTTACTTTCTTATATATTATACCTATTATTTTATCAGTTATGCAATAGTATTTACATTTTTCAGGTTTACATTTTCCCATATATATGGACCTTCCACTACCCAGAAAGATTTGTTTGACACTGCTACTTTGAGTTTGGTCAGGGATTTTCTTGGTGGCCAGAACTGCTTGCTTTTCACTTACGGAGCCACTAATTCTGGCAAAACATACACTGTACAAGGTAAGGCATGGTAATATTAAGCTCTAAGGTTGATGTTGGACCCTTATAGCAACAGCCTAGGTCAGGTACTACATTTTCTTCACCATTAGGAAAGTTTGTCACGTGTATGGCAGGTAAATTCCTCGAGTACAATGTATAGTATACCGATTATAAAATTATTATAAATTGGCTGTTTTGTACTAAGTAACAATATTATATGTAGAATGTTTAGCAATGCACTAAGAGCTTAATTATGTATATTGTACAGAATAAGCAAATTTCGCTTTGAAGGATGGTTTGTATTTGTCGTGTTCTTATTACAACAGTTTATTTCATTTAAGTCTTTTGATTGCTTATTTTTTAATTTGTTAATATTACCTTTTTTTAAGAATTGAAATAAAAATTATTCTAATAAATTCAATACCAATACTGTACTCACCCGAAGAAAGTTCTGTATCTGTATGGAAATTTCAAAGGTGTATATTTGCATGAATTTCCTAAAAGTTCACTTAAATTATAGATTGCTCGAGGTGAAACATTATTTTGGCAGGTAGCCTTGTGTGCAAAAATAAAGGGTTAAATAATCCTATACACTATTAACTTAAATTGGAGTGTTCCTTGAAATGACTTATGGAATTTTACTACAATGGCAGGAACTCCTACCAATCAGGGTATTCTTCCACGAACATTGGATGTAGTCTTCAATACAATAGGAGAACATCATTACCAGAAAAATGACCTGAAGCCCCAATATTTCTGCAGTGTCATACGCCTTGATGAAAAGGACATTCAAAAAGAAGAGGAAAGGAAAGAGAGAATATTCAAGATAGGCTCTGAGCTTAGCACTACATATTCTCAGTCCACATTGGTAATTAGTTTTGCTTTAGAATTGCTCTGTGGAAGCTAAGCTTTTCTAAACAGTCTCTTTGCTGATGACACTGTGCTCTTGGGAGATTCTGAAGAGAAGTTGCAGAGATTGGTGGATGAATTTGGTAGGATGTGCAAAAGAAGAAAATTAAAAGTGAATACAGGAAAGAGTAAGGTTATGAGGATAACAAAAAGATTAGGTGATGAAAGATTGGATATCAGATTGGAGGGAGAGAGTATGGAGGAGGTGAATGTATTCAGATATTTGGGAGTGGACGTGTCAGCGGATGGGTCTATGAAAGATGAGGTGAATCATAGAATTGATGAGGGGAAAAGGGTGAGTGGTGCACTTAGGAGTCTGTGGAGACAAAGAACTTTGTCCTTGGAGGCAAAGAGAAGAATGTATGAGAGTATAGTTTTACCAACGCTCTTATATGGGTGTGAAGCATGGGTGATGAATGTTGCAGCGAGGAGAAGGCTGGAGGCAGTGGAGATGTCATGTCTGAGGGCAATGTGTGGTGTGAATATAATGCAGAGAATTCGTAGTTTGGAAGTTAGGAGGAGGTGCGGGATTACCAAAACTGTTGTCCAGAGGGCTGAGGAAGGATTGTTGAGGTGGTTCGGACATGTAGAGAGAATGGAGCGATACAGAGTGACTTAGAGTGTATCAGTCTGTAGTGGAAGGAAGGCGGGGTAGGGGTCAGCCTAGGAGAGGTTGGGGGGAGGGGGTAAAGGAGGTTTTGTGTGCGAGGGGCTTGGACTTCCAGCAGGCATGCGTGAGCGTGTTTGATAGGAGTGAACGGAGACAAATGGTTTTTAATACTTGACGTGCTGTTGGAGTGTGAGCAAAGCAACATTTATGAAGGGGTTCAGGGAAACTGGCAGGCCGGACTCGAGTCCTGGAGATGGGAAGTACAGTGCCTGCGCTCTGAAGGAGGGGTGTTAATGTTGCGGTTTAAGAACTGTAGTGTAAAGCACCCTTCTGGCAAGACAGTGATGGAGTGAATGATGGTGAAAGTTTTTCTTTTTCGGGCCACCCTGCCTTGGTGGGAATCGGCCAGTGTGATAATTAAAAAAAAAAATAATAATAATAAGTGCCTGCCAAAATTTCCCCAACACTTGACACTCGTTTTCATTTTTCATATGTAATCCTTAAATACATAGTTATTCCCATGTATGATAGTTTGAGATTTTTTTAATGATTCATTTGTTTAGGGACAAACTTATGGATATTTATATTGAAATCATCTTAAAAATAGTAAGATAATTTTTTTTTCTAAACCTAGATTAAAATGTGAAATGCATGCGACTTATTTTCAGAGCCTCTCCAAGTTGTCTACCAGTGATGACAGTCTTAACTACTCTCATCAGCTGACTGAAATAAGTGCATTTTCAAATAAATCGAGTGAAATAAGCAAAGGTATTTATAAAATTTCCCCTCAAGGGAGGTGTTTTGTTGCTGTTGAGTTCTTGATCACTTTGGATTAAACTTGATTGCCTACCATTCCACAGGTGCTGAATAACCCTTACGTGTTCAGTGTTTTTCTATGATAACTTTGCTATACACTTTTTTGTGTGTGGAATCAGTATGAAAGTTTAGATAATAAAACTAATCTTTAGGGCATTGACAGGGTATATAGGGGGGCAGTGTGGCAGATGTTGCAAATATATGAAATAGGAGGTGGGTTATTGAAAGCAGTGAAAAGTTTTTACGAGGATAGTGAGGCTCAGGTTAGAGTATGTAGGAGAGAGGGAGATTGTTTCCCAGTAGAAGTAGGCCTTAGACAAGGATGTATGATGTCACCATGGTTGTTCAATATATTTATAGATGGGGTTGTAAGAGAAGTGAATACTCGGGTGTTGGCAAGAGGCATGGGGTTAAAAGATAAAGAATCTAACAAAGTGGAGTTGTTACAGTTGCTCTTTGCTGATGACACTGCTTTTGGGAAATTATGAAGAGGAGTTGCAGAGGTTGGTTGATGAGTTTGGTAGGATATGTAAAAGAAGAAAATTACAAGGGAATATAGGAAAGAGTAAGGTGATGAGGATAAAAAAATTAGGTAATGAAAGATTGGATATCAGATTGGAGGGGGAGAGCATGGACGTAAATGTATTCAGAGGCATGTATTTAGGAGTGGACATGTCAGTAGATGGGTCTATGAAAGATGAGGTGAATCATAGAATTGACGAGGAGACAAAGGTGAGCTGTGCACTGAGGAGTCTGTGGAAACAAAGAAATTTGTCCATGGAAGCAGAGAGGGGAATGTATGAGAGTATAGTTACACCAACGCTCTTATATGGGTGCAAAGCATGGGTGGCGAATGTTGCAACAAGGAGAAGGCTGGAGGCAGTGGAGATGTGTCTGAGGGCAATATGTGGTGTGAATATAATGCAGAGAATTCGTAGTTTGGAAATTAGGAGGAGGTGCGGGATTACCAAAACTATTATCCAGAGGGCTGAGGAGGGGTTGTTGAGGTGGCTCGGACATGTAGACACAATGGAAGGAAAGTGACTTAGAGAGTGTATAAACCTGTAGTGGAGAGAAGGTGGGGTAGAGATCGGCCTAGGAAAGGTTGGAGGGAGGGGATAAAGGAGGTTTTGTGTGCTAGGGGCTTGGACTTCCAGCAAGCACGCGTGAAACGTGTTAGATAGGAGCGGATGGAGACAAATGGTTTTCATGACTTGACGTGCTGTTGGAGTGTGAGCAAGGTAATATTTATGAAGGGATTCGGGGAAACTGGCAGGCCAGACAGACCTGTCCTGGAGACAGTAAGTAGTGCTTGCACTCTGAAGGAGGGGTGTTAATGTTGTAGTTTTATAACTGCAGTGTAAGTGCACCTCTGGCAAGACAGTGATGGAGTGAATGATGGTGAAAGTTTTTCTTTCTTGGGCCACCCTACCTTGATGGGAAACAGCCGATGTGTTAATAAAAAAAAAAAAAAATGGCAGTTTGGAGGGATATCTAAACTGTTTTATCAGAGTGCCTCTGCAAAGACTGTGATTATGTATGGGTGTTGAATGATGAAAACTTTTTCTTTTGTCTTTTTCTTTCTTTTTGGAGTTTTTTTCTTTTTGGGTCACCCTGCCTTGGTGGGAAATGGCCGATGTGTTTAAAAAAAAAAAAAAAAGTAATTCTGCCTTTTCGGAGTTAATTTACTGATGACTTTATTATTAATTATATTTTAAGAGAATGTAATTAACATTTTGTTTGGTATGGTAACTCGAAGGGTAACAGTGTCTGAAAGGCCATTTAACACCTGTTCTTTCAAGAAATTTATAAGCATATGCACCCCAAACCATGAATGCAGGGAAAACTAAATTTCTTATTGGAATGACATTATGATTATCAGGATCGTAAGCTCTAGAAAAAGAGATGCGTTTTTAACAGACTTAAAAGCAAAACCAAATTCCTTATTCTTAGAGACATTGGTAATCTATAGGCATACATTAATGGTGCATTTTATGGATTTAACCTAAGGTAACCTCCGGTAAATTCAGTGAAGCGTTTCCATTAGGGGTCCTATGTTGCTATCTTAAAACTTTCACATTTCATACTTGTGTAAAATGCTCACTTTGCTTAATATACATTGCTTATTTTTCACCAATTTTTCAGTCATTTCTGTCATTTTCTGTAATAATGATACTACCATAGGTTTCACTGAATCACTAATTTTTTTTTTTTTTTTTTTTTTTTTATTTACAGTGTTCCCTGGTGTGGAGAGTCTGTATCATGACAACACAAGTCTGGATATAGGAGATGCAGAAAATATTATTTATGCAGTCTTTGTGTCATTTGCCGAGATCTACAATGAGTATGTATATGACCTGTTAGAAAAAATGCCTACTTCGAAGAAAAATAAGCGTAACCCCCTGATGCTGGGAGAAGATCGTAATGGTTCTATTTATATAAAGGGTGAGTGTGTGTGTGTGTGTGTATATCTTTGAACAAACCAGTCATATTCCACAGAGGCATACACAGTGTGTAGTGGCATACACAGTGTGATAAGGCCTGTTCTGGAAGAAAATTCCAAACAGGACCTACAGTACTCAGGAGGAAAAGGCACTCCCAGGACAGTGTCTCATCAGTCATTGCTGCATCTTCAATAAAGGTAAGTGTCATTTATTCTTCATTTAGTAGAGTAGTACATGCACAATATATATTGTGCATGTACTACTCTACTATTGTGCATGTATCCTTCTCTTTGTGTGTAGGAAAATGTATATTTCATGTGGTAAAATTTTTTTTTTTCATACTTTTGGGTGTCTTGCACGGATTAATTTGATTTCCATTATTTCTTATGGGGAAAATTCATTTGCATACCGATCATTTCGCATAACAATGAGCCCTCTTGCACGGATTAAAGTCGCTATGCGGGGGTCCACTGTATATCACACCTAGAATTAGTTTTTCTTGACCCTCCATGAACTCTACCCAAACAGACTCTGTTACTGCTCCATCTATTTTTATACCTGTTTTTATGCAAGAATTAATATTTTCTCAAACATACAATGCAACTCCTCCCCCTTCCCATTACATCTATCCACATTGAACAACTTAAATCCCTGAATATTGCACTCAGCAGTCGTATCCCGACTCTTTAAATCATACCACGTTTCAGTTAATGCAATGATATCAAAGTTCCCAGCACATGCTACCAAACGTAGTTCATTAATTTTATTTCTTGCACTTTGACTGTTAGCATAAAATACCATCATGTTTTTTCTTCTGCACATTTTTCCTATTCATCTTTGTTTTTACACAATTTCTGAAATTATCATTACCCAGAGTTACTCCATGACAGTTACTATTAAGATTCTTAATATCAGAGCATAAGTCAATATATCCATACTCATTTCTAAACCTATATCTCTAACTAATCCTAGTTTAAAGTCCTAACAACCCCCTCAACTGAGTTAGCAAGAAAACCCACACCTGCCCTGGATAAGTGAACCCCATCCCTGGCATACATATCATTTCGGCCATAGAAGTTGTCCCAGTTGTCAATGAATGGTACTGCATTATCCTTAGTGTTTATCCAGCCAACAATTAATACCAATTGCTCTGGACAAGCATTCATTACCAACACCTCTTCTTGGCAAAATGCCACATATAACAAGGTGCCCCCCCTTCTTCCTAATTATGTCTATAGCTGTCCTGAACTTTCTAACTAAATCCTCACTTCTACGCTTGCCTACATCATTGCTTCCAGCACTGAGGCAAATAATAGGATTGATCCCATTACCGTTCATGATGTTGTCCAGCCGGCTAACAATGTCCTCCATCCCAGCCCCAGGAAAGCAAACTGTCTCCTACTCCTGTCCTTCAAGCAGGATGCCCTATCCATGTATCTAACCTGGCTATCCCCAACAACAACAATATTCTTACTTTCCTTGTTAAGAATATTGTTGTTGTTGGGGATAGCCAGGTTAGATACATGGATAGGGCATTCTGCTTGAAGGACAGGAGTAGGAGACAGAGTTTGCTTTCCTGGGGCTGGGATGGAGGACATTGTTAGCAGGCTGGACAACATATTCTCCAACAATAAATTTTCCATCCCTCCCTCACACAAACAAGTCTCCAATAAGAAAGGAGGAGCACTGCAGTAGGCCTGTTGGCCCATACTAGGCAAGTCCTTTACAATCCTTCCCACTAAGAACATAAGAATGTAGGAACACTGCAGAAGGTCTACTGGCCCATACGAGGCAGGTCCTTATCAAATCGACCTCTACCTAAAGCTACCCAAGAAATAACATAACAATGGAAGAACACTGCGGGTCTACTGGCAAAATATAAACACACATGCAGTATAATGTGATCCTTTATTGACTACGTTTTGCCCCCACAGTGGGTTTTTTCCAAGTCACAAACAGATCTTGTAGATGAATGGTTCAGAGAACCGACATGTTGATAAATTAGACACGTGTGCAACTCTTGGGTATCTTTATTGAGGAAACGTTTCGCCACACAGTGGCTTCATCAGTCCATACAAAGGAGAATCTTTAACAGGAGGAGAATGAGGTAATCAGTCCCTCAACCTTGAGTCGATGTGGTCAGTCCATCAATCTTGAATAGATTGATGGACTGACCACATCGACTCAAGGTTGAGGGACTGATTACCTCATTCTCCTCCTGTTCTTCAAGATTCTCCTTTGTATGGACTGATGAAGCCACTGTGTGGTGAAACGTTTCCTCAATAAAGATACCCAAGAGTTGCACATCTGTCTAATTTATCAACAAACAGATCTGTTTGTGACTTGAAAAAAACCCACTGTGTGGGCGAAACGTAGTCAATAAAGGATCACATTATACTGCATGTGTTTATATTTCCTTTGTGTCGGTATTTTATATCATTTATTTCCAGGTCTACTGGCCCATACAAGGCAGGTCCTTATCAAAATGGCCACTACACAAAGCTACCCAAGAATTTACTCCCGTACCCAATGACATAAATCAAACTCAGCTCCTCCCACTCATATATTTGTCCAATCTCTTCTTAAAGCTACCCAAGGTCCTAGCCTCGATCACCTTGCGTTCTTCAATAGAACATTTGAGGCAGTTGACAGTGATAAGGAATATGATATTGTTTATTTGGATTTTAGTAAAGCCTTCGATAGAGTACCTCACAAGAGACTCTTTCAGAAAAGTGGCAGCTCATGGTATAGGAGGTAAAGTTCTAGCATGGATTGAGGCATGGCTTACTAATAGAAAGCAGAGAGTTACCATTAATGGAGTGAAATCTGAATGGGGATTAGTCACTAGTGGCATTCCACAAGGGTCAGTTTTAGGCCCTCTCTTGTTCATAATTTACATTAATGACCTTGATGGAGGGATTACGAGTGACATGAGTAAATTTGCTGATGATACATAGTTCCTTTGTATAAAGGCAAAGGGGATAAAAGAGAGTGCAAAAATTATAGGGGGATAAGTCTGTTGAGTGTACCTGGTAAAGTGTATGGTAGAGTTATAATTGAAAGAATTAAGAGTAAGACGGAGAATAGGATAGCAGATGAACAAGGAGGCTTTAGGAAAGGTAGGGGGTGTGTGGACCAGGTGTTTACAGTGAAACATATAAGTGAACGATATTTAGATAAGGCTAAAGAGGTCTTTGTGGCATTTATGGATTTGGAAAAGGCGTATGACAGGGTGGATAGGGGGGCAATGTGGCAGATGTTGCAAGTGTATGGTGTAGGAGGTAGGTTACTGAAAGCAGTGAAGAGTTTTTACGAGGATAGTGAGGCTCAAGTTAGAGTATGTAGAAAGAGGGAAATTTTTTCCCAGTAAAAGTAGGCCTTAGACAAGGATGTGTGATGTCACCGTGGTTGTTTAATATATTTATAGATGGGTTGTAAGAGAAGTAAATGCAAGGTCTTGGCAAGAGGCGTGGAGTTAAAAGATAAAGAATCACACACACAAAGTGGGAGTTGTCACAGCTGCTCTTTGCTGATGACACTGTGCTCTTGGGAGATTCTGAAGAGAAGTTGCAGAGATTGGTGGATGAATTTGGTAGGGTGTGCAAAGAAGAAAATTAAAGGTGAATACAGGAAAGAGTAAGGTTATGAGGATAACAAAAAGATTAGGTGATGAAAGATTGAATATCAGATTGGAGGGAGAGAGTATGGAGGAGGTGAACGTATTCAGATATTTGGGAGTGGACGTGTCAGCGGATGGGTCTATGAAAGATGAGGTGAATCATAGAATTGATGAGGGAAAAAGAGTGAGTGGTGCACTTAGGAGTCTGTGGAGACAAAGAACTTTGTCCTTGGAGGCAAAGAGGGGAATGTATGAGAGTATAGTTTTACCAACGCTCTTATATGGGTGTGAAGCGTGGGTGATGAATGTTGCAGCGAGGGAGAAGGCTGGAGGCAGTGGAGATGTCATGTCTGAGGGCAATTGTGTGGTGTGAATATAATGCAGAGAATTCGTAGTTTGGAAGTTAGGAGGAGGTGCGGGATTACCAAAACTGTTGTCCAGAGGGCTGAGGAAGGGTTGTTGAGGTGGTTCGGACATGTAGAGAGAATGGAGCGAAACAGAATGACTTCAAGAGTGTATCAGTCTGTAGTGGAAGGAAGGCGGGTAGGGGTCGGCCTAGGAAGGGTTGGAGGGAGGGGGTAAAGGAGGTTTTGTGTGCGAGGGCTTGGACTTCCAGCAGGCATGCGGGGAGCGTGTTTGATAGGAGTGAATGGAGACAAATGGTTTTTAATACTTGACGTGCTGTTGGAGTGTGAGCAAAGTAACATTTATGAAGGGATTCAGGGAAACCGGCAGGCCGGACTTGAGTCCTGGAGATGGGAAGTACAGTGCCTGCACTCTGAAGGAGGGGTGTTAATGTTGCAGTTTAAAAACTGTAGTGTAAAGCACCCTTCTGGCAAGACAGTGATGGAGTGAATGATGGTGAAAGTTTTTCTTTTTCGGGCCACCCTGCCTTGGTGGGAATCGGCCGGTGTGATAATAAAAAAAAAAAAAACAAAGATAGGCCGTATAATTCACTCTGAGGAGGATATCAATGAACTCCAGGACGATTTGGACAAATTAATGTCTTGGTCTGAAAAATGGCAGATGAAGTTCAATGTGGATAAGTGTAAGGTACTTGCCCTTGGTAATGAAAATAACCCTAGAAGCTATAATCTAGGTGAAGTAGAGCTTGATCATACAGAATGTGAAAAAGACTTGGGAGTCATGGTAAGCAGAAATCTAAAGCCAAGACAGCAGTGCCTTAGTGTGCGCAACAAGGCCAACAGATTACTTGGATTTATCTGGAAATAAATGGTATAAAATACCGACACAATGGAAATATAAACACACATGCAGTATAATGTGATCCTTTATTGACTACGTTTTGCCCACACAGTGGGCTTTTTCAAGTCACAAATAGATCTACCTGGGGTGGAAGGGATGCGAGTATTTATAGTCAG